AATATCTTAGTATTTCTGTTCTCCAGCTTCCTCTGTTAAATAAGGATGATACATATGCCCCAAGCAGTGTTATGAAACTGGATTAATGTTAAGTTGTGGTCTTTGGACAAATATATGGTAAATTTTATTATGTTCTTTGGGGGGATATTGTACTTAAATATTTCTGTTCCTAGTATCACTTACTGTTAACTCTTTCCTTTAGTTGATTAAAGCTATTTTTCTCTATTTTTTCCTATCTACATATCAGTTATAACAGGGTCAGATTCCTTGTATTAGTGTTTACAAAACCACTTTCATCATTTTAAGTGAAACTCTTTAAGGTAACAGTACTTGCTTTCACAAAAACTAATTTGTAGCTGTGCTGGCTGGAGCGCTTTCTCCCTTCAGATAGTTGCTTTTCATTAATCTCTTAAGTACCTAGCTGTGCTGAATTGTGTACCTCAGCATAGTTCAGTATTGATTGCACTAACTGGTTCTCGTCTCAGTGGACTCTGGTTTATAGATCTGGGCGAAATTCACCCCTGGGCAATTTGCCAACATAAAACTGACCCACCACTTAAGTCCCACATAAACCTAGTCCCTTGATGGAAATCAAGTAGAGTTCAGGTCTTCTGGTAATTGTACACTTATGGATTAAGTGTATACTTCTGACTTAGGCCGTGGACACACATTCATTTGTAGCACTATAAAGTGCCCCCAGACTGGTGTACTACAAAGTCATCTCAAGGATGTGCTTTCCAGCCAGGGGGCAATAGAGGGCTGGTGGTAGCAGCCTTCCAGCATCCCAGCAGGCTTCCATGCAGCTTGCTGCAGCTGACAGGCTATCAGGAAGCTAGCTACTTCTGCTCTTTTCTCACTTGGAGGGTGTGGGTGGGAAGGAGAGTGGAGGACTGTGAGATGCAAGGAGTCCAAGAGACCTCCTATAGCGTTGCATGTAACTGTCTACATGTTCCATGTGGGATTACAAGACGTAGTACTATAGAGAAGTTCCTCTTTGAAAAAGGAACATTTTTAATGCAGATTTGCTATTTTTCTCATGCTACAGATGTTGTGACTGTGAGGATGCCCACTTTTTAAAGCTCTACAAGGGCAGTTGCAGCATTACAAATGTAATGTGTCCATAGCTTGAGTATCTCTTTTAGGAGTTTTCATCAGGGAGATGCATGCTGTCTAGTGTACTTCTTTTTTAATTTTAACATAGGTTTTGGAAATTCCAGGTAGGGAAAATGCTATGCACTGACAAAACAATGTTCAGTAACCACCCCACAAACCAGCAGCATTTTGTTGCCTAAGAGAGGTGGCTTGATGCTAACAGGAAATTTAAGACTACCTTTCATAGTTTCATAGTTTCTAGGGTCGGAAGGGACCTGAGCAGATCATCTAGTCCGACCCCCTGCCATGGCAGGAAGAGCACTGGGGTCAAACGACCCCAGTAAGGTGGTCATCCAACCTCCTCTTAAAAACCCCCAGGGTGGGAGCCTGCACCACCTCACTTTACTTTTACTTAATTTGGGGGTGTATGTTAGTGATGGCCCTTATTGAACAAGACCATATTTCAGAAACTTTCTCTTTGTTCCACTCTGTTTTTCTTACTCTGCTCCTCAAGGATTAAAAAAAATGGTGAGGGTACAACCTCTTGTCTTTGCCACTTCTGTCTGAAACTAAGCTGGGAAAAGTAGAACTAGTTTTGGCTTTCATGCTGACTGTTTCATTGACTAAAAGGTTCAATAGCAAGGTCACCAGGCATCATATAAGAAAGCAGGATATCAGAGTTCCAGGCACTGATGTTATTAATTCTGGCTGGCACTAAAGCTGTATATGCAGTCTTGCGTTACTTCCAAACTACTAGGTCTCAAATAATCTGTTTTGCATAGTCAGCATTTTTTACCACCATCAGGAAGATTGGATATGTTCTGCCAATCTTTTATTGGCTAACGGTGGTAGTTTTCCAAATGATCTTGGCCCTAAACTTGCTACTTTCATCCATACCCTTTGCAGTTAATCTTAGCTCATATGGATTCATTTATATATAGATTCATTTATAAAAATGAAAGGTGTCTTGTAAGTACTGTGGTTTGTAAATTACGAAGTGCTCCTTGAAATCTGTATTATCTGATTGCAAGCCCCATTCAAGTATAAAAAAAATATCTTTAAGCCTGTTATATCATAGGGAAGCTTAAGCCCAAATCAAATATGTCCTGTTAGAGCAAGTAGGATTGGCAAAGCTGGAGATGTCTAGTCACATAGGACCAAATCCAGATTGGTCACCTAGCCAGCCATGCTTAGCCATTGCAACACTTCAGAAGTGGGCACCTGGTCCCAGGAAAGCTATTCAAACTGGTACTTAGGATCCCTATACTGTCTATGGGGAGTCTTGGGTGCCTCTGATTTAGGGTTAGGCATCTAGGTACTCCCCACAGATAATGAGGAAGGGATAAATTCCTCCAAAGGGTGATATGGGAAGCCTAAAGTTGCCTAGAAAATGCTAAGCACACAAGCATATCAAAACTCCTACCTTTCTCTGGTGGTTAGGCACCTAACTCAGACTTCACGTTAGATGTCTCCATTCACGTGAGATCTAGAATTTTGTTTATGCATTTTTATCCAGTCAGTATTTCTTGCAAAATGAATAAGCAGTTGTAGGAGCAAGGGTGAGAATCCATTAGCCCAGCCTCAGCACAATATCCATAGCTTAGCTCAACCCATAACTTGGTGGTTAGGGACCTTTCCTGGGAAGTGGGAGATGTAGGTTCAATTCCTCATGTTTAGGAAGGCGTAGAATACAGGTCTCCCATTTCCTAGCTGAGTGTTTTAGTAACTAGGTTGCTGGGCAGAAGGTAGGCTGCTCAGTTGGGCACCTAGGTGCTCTCTTCAGCTGCTCCTCCTTTCCTCCAGTTGTGATTCAGACAGGGCATGGTCTTACACGATCTTAGAAGTGAGCCTAAGAAGGGCTTTCAGTTTATGAATCCCCCATGAACAAAAATACCTAACTCAGAGCTGCTGGGAATTGCTTGTAATCTTGGAGAAAGGCAGGATTTCCCTTCCCTACTACTCTCCACACCCTTTCTTTTGGCTTACATGTGCGTCCTCCAGCAAGCATACCAACTGCTGTGAATTCTGACTCCAAGTTGCCTAAGAAGAGACCTAGGATGCCAAACTTGAGCTCTCAATTACAGTCTTGAATGCACATGCTTAAATTTTATATTTCAGCATATAGCATCAACTTGATGAAGTCCCTTGTTGAACCTGAACCATGGTCCCTAGTACCCAAAAGCCAGATCCAATTTCACCTTCTAAGCAGTTCCATTCAGGAGTCTAAACATAAGCACCTACCTTGGAAGTGATCAGGATTGTCAGGCCTAGGCAATTAGGATTACTGCACAATGAATGTGAAGAACTAAATGCCTCTCAAGGATGATTCAGGTGCTGAAGAGGGAGGCACCTCTGTTTACCCTACATGCGTGTGTCTGAACTTCAGTTCTCAAAAGCTTAAGCATCTAACTTAGAGCTGCAAGGCAGATGCTGCAGACTTCTCACTGGATCCCAAGCGCCTGGCGGGAAGATACCTACCTGACATCAGTATTGAGTTCAATATAAAGCAAAGTACCTTTGCTGCCACCACCACCCACTTCACTTTTGAACACAGCTATGAGTGTCTGTCTTTGTCCAGTAGTCTAGTTCTAAGACCATTTACCCAGGAATGGGAAACTTGGCTTCTGTGTCTTCGCCACCCTGGGTGAATCAAAACCTACAGCTCCTACTTCCTAGGAGAGTTCCCTAACTGTGAAGCTGTGAACCATGACAGTTTTGCTACCCTCCCCTCTCTTGCTGAAGTTTGCCCATTGAGCATGCAAGTGTATAAGTTGTGGGGCCAGAAGGAGAGCAAAAAAGAGGGAGCGTGTCTCTGAAATCTAGCTCTTGCATTTTGAGTTAGTCAGTCATTAGTTTAAAAAAATACCCTGGTAGCAGAGACTGGAATGCTCCAATTTATAGCTGTGCCACAAGCATTACACTAGTATCACACTCCTTGCTTGGTTTCTTTCTGGTCCCATGAATCTTGCCTTTTTGATTGCCAGTGGACAGGTTTCATCAAGGAGGATAGTAGGGTCCCCCAGCCATAGCCAAGTGGCAGGGGCATTCCTCAGGAAATTAGAAGCCTTGGGTTCAAATCCCCTCATGATGAGGTGGGCCTATAATTCAATTCTCCCACTTCTGGGGTGAGTGCTTGTCCCTTTTGTTTGCTGTGGGTGTTTTTGATAAATGGTGAACATGAACAACACCAACGCCTCCTTTTTCATCAGCTATATTTTGTAGTGTGCTGCATGTATGCTGTCAGCATCAAACAGTTGCTGGGTGTGCTCCATCTCCACTTAAAGAATTGTAGACCTAGGCTTCCCCTACAAAAGATTATCCCCTACAATGATGATAATAGGTTACTTCTGAGGATGTGCAGTAGCCCAAGCATCAGACCTAAGGAGCTTTTCAGGCCAAAATGAAGATGCTTAATGGATATATACCTAAGTGGTTTTAAGGCCACTGAGTCTGGTTCAGTCTTGATAGTTCTTTTGTGATGCAGCCACTTCAGTTCAACAAAACTAATTTAGATACCCATAATATTTTGGATCTGGTCCTTGTTCCTTTTCTGAAAATAGGACACAAAGTCCTATGTTACTTGAAACCTTTTGAAAATTGTCATGTTTTTTCTCAAATTGAAGACTTTATTAAATGATCACAGAGATGTTAGCAATTCACTTAAACTAATCTCTACTCTTATCTTGGTAATTAAACAGTAACAATAATAATAAACTGCTTATTCTCTTCTTTGTTGTTTTTTTTTCTGTGCATCCCATGTATTATATACCTAGCTTATTTGGCCCGCAGTTTTTTCATGCCAGGGTCTATCTTTGGTAGAAGCTTAGGAAATTGTTGTACCTAACTAACAAGTACTAGTGGATTTGAAGTAGTTCACATTTGACTTACCAGAGTTTCTTTTGTTTCAGGTGATCAGACTTTAAGAGTTTGGGATGTGAAAACACCAGGAGTCAAAGTAGTGATTCCAGCACACCAGGCTGAGATCCTGAGCTGTGACTGGTGCAAGTATGATGAGGTATAATGTGTTGTGCCAAATTACTGCAAACATTCCTTAACGAACTGCTGTTATTAAAGGGTAAAGGGTTTTTTTTACTGCTACATCAGTGTCAGTTTTATTTATATGGGATAACAGTCATGTACAGTGACTGGTTAGATTATTTTCAGTCCTTAGCAAGAGCTCAGACCCAGAAGAGTGACTCCCAGGGATGAATGTGTAAAAATAAAAATCAATCTTTGGTAGAAGATGTTTGCAGGGTTGACAGATTTATTTAAAACTTATCTTTTACTTTCTTTTTAATTTGTACACTGGAGGCCTCCTTCCTGGCTTACATGTGTTACATTCATAGCATGATTTCATCTGACTTTTTCATAGCCAAACAATTCACTTAACAGTTATCATGGCAACTTTAATATTAAGCTTGTTCAAGTGTGTCTGTGGCTTTTGTTTTAAATCTTCAGAACTTGCTGGTAACCGGAGCAGTTGACTGTAGTTTGAAAGGTTGGGATTTGAGGAACGTCAGGCATCCAGTGTTCAACCTCTTTGGCCATACATATGCTGTTAGAAGAGTAAAAGTAAGTTTGTTTTATTTGCACTGCCCTATCATTTACTTTCTATTAAAGTATCAGTGGAAGCATTTTGGTATTCAAAAGCTGTTCATATGCTGAGAGTGATGGAGGCCTTGAGGTTTTTTTCATGTGAAAAGATATAGAGGATAGCGGTAGGGGGGAAACAACTGTGGCTTTTCTTAGTTATTCCATTAGGTTCAGCTGGATACAGTATACTCCCTTAAATCTTTTTAAAACTGTGCTGTATTATTGTTTAATGGTTGCTTCCTTCCACCCTAAAGGTGATAGCATTTGTGTGTCAGATTAGAGCTTGATGTGAATGTGTGTTTGTGCATATATTAATGTGCATAGGCATTTTAAGTGTGAGGAACATTAATATGGAGCGGCAAGTTTACCTTTGGGGTAGCTTCACAGTTAAGGCCCAGTTTTCCCTCCTGTTCTCCCCATTGCCCTCATTGGTAAATTAGAACAGGTTGTTCAACTTTTAAGTGGGCAGGAGCCTCATATTGTGCAGGCTGCATTAGTAGGGGGCCACCTTGGTGGGACCATGGGCCCCTAGGGCTGAACATCATATGACCCTCGGCCCCTTTTGCTGCACTGTGCATGCACCCCAGCACCTCTTCCCACTATATCATGTGTTCCTCTGCTGCATCCTGAATCCTTCTGCAGCACCATGCATCCTCTTGCCACCACCCCCATCGCACTTCCTGTCTACCCATTGCACCACAGGTCCCAGTGCCCAAAATCACACTGCACTACACATTCCTTTGCTGTACTTCATGCTGTCTTAGCTCCTCCCCACTGTGCACCTGGTGTGGCAGAAGGCCACCTCTGTTTCTCCCCAGAAACTCTGCTCTGTGACAGTTTGGTTAGGATGAGCCCAGCAGAGGATACACACCTTACCCTATCTCTTTAGGTAACCTGAACTGGATACATTTCTGAGGGAGGGCGGAAACCTGTGCCCTCTGCCTACATGACTGGCATCACATAATTGGGTGAGGGGCTTGGGCACCCTGGGGAGCTAGGAACTGCCAATCTGCCCAGCAACCAGTGATGCATTTCAAATTGGTTGGCTGACAGCCAAGAGGTGCTGGCCTCCATTGGACCAGGTAAATGAGGTCATAAGGGCTATATAAGTTAAGGACTGCCCAGGAGGAGGGGGGCAGCAGCCATGAGGAAAACTCAGAGAGAGAGGAGCTGGACTATCTGAAACCTGCTCTCTCTCAGAAGTCATGATGAAGGAACTGCCTGCCTCCAGAGGAAATCTTC